CTAGATGTATAGTCTGTGTGTGACATAAAATATGGATCTCCATCCCTGCCACAAAGGCCATCAAATAATGTTTAAAATAAAAAATACAGTAGCTTGAAAAGGCAGAGTATCTATCCATCCATCCATCCATCCATCCATCCATCCATCCATCCATCCAGATTTCTCCCTTTCTCCATATAGGCTATCATTTGATCGTTCACGCTCTCCATAGTTCTCCTGTGGTGCGAGCACAGGGCGACTGTTGCGCGCTTTTAGCGAGCATACGCATTTCCTGTCGCTTGCGCGGTGAATTGTGCCGCCTGCACTGTGTGGAGATGCAGGGGAAACCGTATCTGATGGGGAAACGCAGCCCGACGTAACACTGGTATTTCCATGTGGAAAACGCTGTTTTGCTGCTGGAGTCATCCTCACTCTCCATCTCTCTGTGTGTGCTGTACGTTAACACCCACCAGCGGAAACACCCACCTACCCAACTGACAGACGGAATCTCACTATACATCATTCAATCTCATCCTCCCCTCTCTCATGACAAGTCGCGCACGAGTCCTATCATGAAAAAAGGTTCATTGTACGACCTGAGTAACGCGCAGTAACGGGGTGTCTGCAATGGTAACTGCGTTATAGTCACAGTCAAAGTAATTAGTTAGATTACTCGTCACTAAAACAAGGTAACGACGTTAGTAACGTAGTCCCATCACTGATTATATTACACTAGGAAGCTTGAATTGGTAAACTGTTTCAGACTAATGTCGTTGTTATGGATAGGTAGAGTTAAGAAGCTAAACATTACTGATAAAAGCTTGAGTGGCTAAAACTGAACAATTTGCCTCAAATCTTAAATATTAGGATTGTAATGGAAAGTGAAAAATATTTCTGCTCCTTCCATGTGCAAAAACAAACCACATTTATTATTTTCAAACAGCAGCTTAGCATGCAGGGACTAAGTAATGGTGTCATTGGCAGAGAAGTAAATGTGTTGCAGGAAGAAAAACACAGAATCAAGTGAGAACCCGCACAGGGATGTGACTTCGCTTCATTTATGATTTGTATGATTTAGCTCCCGATCCGCGGACGCCCGTCCCCCAGGATAACCAAGTAAACAGCAGAGAGTAAACAAAAGCAATTCCACTACAAACATCGAAGTCGTTCCCTTTTACAGATGAAGAGATGCAGCGAGTCTCCTTCCTGTCATCCGCCGTTAGTCAGGTCATTCATCAAAACGTCAGCCACAGGCATCAAAAGAAGAGGAAAAGAGGCTGCTTTGGATTGAGCTCCCTGTTATTTTTCATGTACAGTACATGGAGGAGTGCTGGAACAGCCTATTGTCCTGTAATTACCAAAACTGAAGGTGGTGGGGGGGTCTGAGGGCAAGTGAGCGTTAACCTATTCAGTGACTCATTGATTCCATTTGATCGGTTGGATAAGATTTACGAGCCGTCAAAGGCCTCGCTTAAAAGTCCTCGTCTTTATTCACCTTTCAGCTCCACAAAACAAATATCAATCAAAGCTTAAAGGAAAGGAGCACGTGTTTCACAAGAATAGAGGCAAGCTACCGTTAAACAGAGATGGAAGGATCAACTTCAATGTGAAATGGCCCACACTGATCTTGACTTTCTTTTCTCTCCTTCTTAGAGTCTGATCTATTAAAATGAAAGCCTAAAAGTTCATTATTGGCCCCCTGCTTTATAGCAGACCCTTTAAAAGATCCTTTGTTCCTTCTCTTAGCTGCAGGTCCTTTAATAATGTGATCTACACTCTGTTACCATCAAACGCGGGCAGCCTTGAGCTTCATAATTACAGACTCGAAGTCTCCAGCAGCCAAGGCCACCAAAGTGCACCCAGAGTAACACATTATCTCACAACTAATTATGTAATGAAGGAGAATTATTATTCGCAGCTCTTGTAGAGTGCGACCCTAATTAAAGCGCAGGTGTGGAAGTTGACACCAAGTTTCAAAACACTGTAGAGAAACACAAATGGAGGTATTTTTATAATGAGTCAGAAGTCACACTTGAGACACCAATGATACCTATCATTTCTGACAGTAAAGATTAGCTCAGAAATATATTTTCATAATTAAAAAAAGGCTGTTACTAATAAGGATGAAGCTGTTAAAAGTCTTTTATAAATGGCACTATAACCTTCTAAGGTCATGTTCAAAAATTTTGTGATAAAAAAAAAAAACAATGGACATTTCAGAAATTGACAAGCATGTTAGGATAATAACCAAATATGCAAAGAAACTCTTAAATAAATTTAAACGTATTAAATACAGCGTTTATAGCATTCGGCAGATGGCCGCTCACACTGAGCCTTTTTTTGTGGAGTAAAAATTATTGAGATATGTCTGTTCTTAGCCTCACAGGCTCCAAACGAAGATCATTAGAGATAAGAATAATTTATACAGCCTCCTTCATGGAATGAAGTGGAGGACTGCTGTTTTGAGAAGATCATTCTGGCCAGTGAAAGATATATTTACCTGATAGGGAATGGCCCTGATGAATTCAAGTCGTTTGGCTTCACTGTTCAAGTGTGAGAAAGTTCTTTATACAGGGGGTGGGTTGGTAGCCTCATGAGACCATCCTGATTTTGCGAGCTTTCAAGGTTTAACTGGCAGATCAGTCTGGCTACTTTCCGTTAAAGAAAATTTGGAGCCTTTCACCAAACGAACGTCCAATCAGCGTTGACTTTGAGGCGGGTTGAGGTGTGACGCAACGAGAAGCACGACAGTTCAGTCTAAAGAACATGGCGGCTTCAGCCGATGAAACTAGCGTTAGCGTGGCTATCGAGCAAGTTTTATCGGAATTACAGAGTATTTCTTCACTGAAAGAAGAGCAAAACGCTGCTCTGGAGGCTCAGCAAATCCATCTGGCGGAGTCCGGTTAAGAGTAGCCTGGCTTGTGGTTGTGTTTTCGTCGTCGCTCTGTTAGTACGTCATATGCTTCGTTGATCTGATTGGTTTATTTGGCCCGTCTAATACCAACATAGGCCAATCAGCTAACCAGTATTTTCGCCCCTTCCCAAAATTACTTCAACGGAAGGTTTCCAGATGGATATGCGGAGCAAATCCAGCAAATTCATCTGATGGAGTCAGGTTAGTGGGTTGGTTCCTCTGGGGAGAGTGTGTGTGTTGGGAAATTGTAAAGTATAAATGTATGAGCTGAGGATGCCTCAGTCAGAGCCCTATCTCTTCCTAACTCCACATTCTGCTGGAGGTTTCTTCCAGTTAAAATTTAGTTTTTCCTCTCCACTGTTGCTACAAGCATGCTTGGTGTGAGGGATTGCTGAGAGTCAAGTAGTCGATGCATACTAAATATGGAGAAGCGCCGTTTAGTTCCTATGCTCCACTTATCTGGAACAAAATTCCAGAAAACTGTAAAAGTGCGGAAAGCCTGAGCTCCTATAAATCAAGACTAAAAACACATTTTTTTAGGATTGCTTTCGACTGTTCTAGTTAAAAAGTTCAACTGAAACATCATTAGTTCATTTTTTTATTTTCTTTAGTCCAACTGTTTTTAATGTTCTTTCTTGTTTCTGCATTTTTTTATTATTTATTTTTTATTTTTCTTCTACTTGCTCTGATTCTGTTTTATTTTCCTATATTTTAATCAAAATCTAAAGCACTTTGCATTGTCTTTGTACTGAATTGTGCTATACAAATAAATTTGCCTTATCTTGCAATCAACTGGTTTTCCATTGACTGTATGATCTGATTGAATTATCTCTGTAAAGTGCCTTGAGATTACATGCGTTGTGAATTGTCACTATATAAATAAACTGAATTGAATTATGTCGCATGGACAGATCGGAACAGTCAACAGGATAATTTGTTCTCTTGGTTTATGGCCCTCGTACATTGACAGCACTTTGTGTCAAGGTTGGCTGCAGGTTTTTAAGGACCCAATTGCAAAGATTGGGAGGCAGAGGCAGATTTAATTGGCAACTGAGGCAGAAATACCAAAATTGAGAACCAAAAATGAGATTACATCAGGGAAAAACTCACATGGGAAGCCAGAGACGAGGGAACACACACAACAAACCAGCACTGAGTGACTGCAGAGGTGGTTTATATATTGGGAGACTAAACCAAGACAGGCTAATCAGCAGATTGGGTGCAGTTGTGGGCAACTAGGAGGAAGCCAAGGGGAAAGGAAACAGTCAAAAGGTGGCTACAGAGAGTGATTAAATAACTCAGCACTGGTAGAAATCAACTACAAAGACACAGAACAGAAACTAAAACTAAATCTAAGCAGAGGGCAGAACCCTGATACTTTGGCCCCGGCAGCAACAGTTTAAGGCTAGAAATGATACGTTTCCTACACATAGCCACTAGATTAAAGTTTTAGTGATCGTTCAAGTTTACAGTGACTGATTCTTTTCTACAAATCCCAGAAAATGTTGATAGATCTCTTAATCTCAGCACTATCCCCTCTTTCTGTGTTATTTTATTACATTTTATTAGTAAGGAAATGGTCTTCTTGTTTTTTTTCCCAAGTCTTCTGTTTGCTGCAGTGAATCTGTTGAAGGATTTTAGATGTGTTTCTCTTTAGCTTTTCAAAAATATTCTGAACCAACTTCCGCTTGTGTAAGCAGCCCTGTTTCAGACCTGCCCAGTCCAAAACCTCCAGCCTCACCACAGGATGATTTCACTGAGGTTTGAGTTCAATAAAAAAGTATTTTACTTACATTTATAAAGCTGGTAAAAACACAAGGAGAACAGAAAATAAAATAGATAAAAGTATGTGCCAAAGGTCAGTTTTAATCCACCATAAACGAAAGATGTGAATATTAAAATCTTTGCACAACCTATCCACTTAATACAGATAATTTAAACCCCCCTGCTTTAACTGTTCAAATCTAAGTTTGGTGGGGTTTTTTACATGATAGATTATAACCCGTCAATCTCCCATATATGTTTTTACAGCAGACCATAGAAACTCAAAATTACTTTATATTACGGAGTAAATGAAAGGCTTTTCTTTCCATGTCATTGTTTGCAGATAGCCTGTCGCCTCCCATCAATGTGACCATCAGGGAAGTGAAAGCAAACTCTGCTGTGGTGTCATGGGACATCCCAGAGGGAGACCCCGTCATTGGCTTTGCCATCACACAGCAGGTGAGCAACAGAATGTGTACGACACAACAACACTGGTGGAAAAAAGCACAACAAAGATAAGAAGATGAGGTTTTCAAAAAGAGGCCGAGGTGTATCGATAGTCTAACCAGCATACAATTTAACACCAACTGTCAGGACACCATCAGTCAGAATAACACTGTTTTCACTAACAAGCTTGGGCATTTTTGCAAAGAACAGTTCGGGACTTTGAGGAAGCCTAAGTGCTATAAATTATTGAAAGGATTAGAAATGAAAAGGTTCTGCTGCATTGTTCACTTGCTCTATTAAATATGAAGCTGCAGCCTGATGGTTATTGGAGCAAATGTTCGCATGATTGTCGACTCGAAGCTACAGTGCTCCCCAAAAGCCTTTGCACATTTTACTGCAGCACAAACACACATTTTCATATCTTACTGGAAACTTATGATGCAATATGTGCCTCTCTGGCAAATATTGTGAAGTGGGTGAACACAACTCTTTTTTTCAGCAGTGAGGTGTGCATTTGTGAGAGAGTCATTTATAAATCCCCTTTCAGTTGTGATTATACCTATGTATTTCTGGAATAGAATAGAATAGAATAGAATAGAATAGAATAGAATAGAATAGAATAGAATAGAATAGAATAGAATAGAATAGAATAGAAAATCTTCTGGTGTTTATAGCAGCAAAAATATAAAAAAATGGTCAGAAAAGTATTGACCTTAGAAAAATGTATAAGAATAAAACAACAGTGAATAGTTAAAAATAAACAATAAAATACTGCCTAGTGTTTTAACAATATAAAAACTGTGCACCTGGAGAATAAATAACCATTATACAGCTTTGGATATTTTTACAGTAATGATATATAGCAGCAACATCAGAGATGTGCAAAATGAGAATAGCATGTTATTTAACTGACTAAGAAACTGTACAAAATCAGCATGAATGTAAGAACTTATTGAGGTTGTTGGGAACAGTGGTGGTTATTGAGTCTTAAGGCTGATGGGAGGAAGGATCTGTGATAATGCTCCCTGGTGCATTTAGGCTGCAGCAGTCTGTCACGGAAACAGTTCTCCAGTTCTGCAGCTTCATGCATGGCGTGGGAAACATCCAACAGAGATGTTAATTTAGTTAGGATCCTTTTGTTTCCCACCTCCTGCACTGATTCCAGAGGGCATCCAATCACAGAGCTGACCTTCCTGATCAGCTTATCCAGACGCTTTCTCTCAGCAACAGATAAGCTATTGCTCCAACAGACAGCTCCATAGAAGATGCTGAGGCCACAACAGTTATAGAAGGTCTTTAAGGAGCGCCTCCTGCACTCCAGCTATTTAAAAATTTATTTTTGCGAAACAACTCAAACTCAACCAGACCAAATGGATAACATATCTTAAAACATTTTTCAGCATTATGCTGCCACCACCCTGTTTGACCATGCTGTTGGTGTGTTAAATATGAAGTAAATAGTTTTTTCAGATTTTGGCCCCCAAAAAAAAATATATATATTAGTCCCATCAGATCAGAGAGGTTGCAAAGTGTTGGCCTGATGTCTTATGCTTTTCTTTTTAGCTTTGGATATTTTTTTCTTATCCTAGCTTTTCTTTAAACTGTATCCTGACCAGTTTAACTCAGTTAGACTGAGGTTTAACTCATACTTAGCTTGGGGTTTAAATGTGATGCATAGGCGAAGGGATTTGCCTATGTATCATAGGTAGTTTGGTTAATCTTGCAAACCATGTATATTTTATCTGTCCTCCTGTTACACTTGTAGTGAGAGTAAAAAGCCTTTAAATAGATCATTCTTTCAGTAGTATTAACACCCCTATCTTTCTGTAGGATTCAAGGCTGTGAATGAAAAAACATTGATTTGTTAGACCATCAGATTTTTGTTGCTCTATATGCAGCCAACACAGCATCACCGATGGTCCAGCATAGTCCTCCAAATGAGCTGTTTTGCAAAGTATTTATCCTCAGTTTTAATTCAAACCAACCTGAGACATTATATAAAAAAAATTTAGTCTTCTTATAAAAGATTTTTTTTTCCATCACTGAATATATATTTTTAAATTGAAAGTATGATTATGCCAATGCATTAAAATCTGAATATATTTTGATTTATACAGCATAAATATGTATATATTTTGTTCATGTCTGCATAACTTTTATTCATGCTTTCTGGAATTCTCAGATGTGCTACTTTAATTATCTGAAGAGATAACTCTGCTTTTTCCACAATAAAAAGATGAGATGAAAAATCACTATACAAAAGCCCACCTGGCACTCAGCAGGTGCTAGCAGAATGTCCTTGCTGTCTCTCCATGTTTATAAGGTTTCTGTCTTTTTGCTTTTATGTTTTCATGTCTAATCAACATCCCCTTGTTTTTGCTACGCCGACAGAAGAAAGACGTGCGCATGCTGCGGTTAATCCAGGAAGTGAACACCACCACACGCTCCTGTGCATTATGGGACTTGGAAGAGGAGACAGATTACATTGTGCATGTCCAGTCCATCAGCATGTTCGGGACGAGCCCGCTGAGCGAACCACTGCGCTTCCGAACCCCAAAGGAGGCCGAGACCCAGGGCACTAAGAGTAAATAGCCACACGCAACTACACTTACCTGTTTGTTCATTTACACATATAAGAATCGGGGAAATCTCCTGTGCTCCTTTTTTTTACGAGATAAGTACAAAGAGCACTTATCCATTTGACAATATAATGACAGGTTTGGCCTAAAATCCACAAGAAATCAATAGTCACACAAGGCATGAAATGAAATTTTAAACTAACTCCTGCATCTCTCCCCTACTGACTACAGCTAAGGAGCAAAACGCCCAACAGGGGAAGAATACTTCACTGTTTATTGATGTTTTTCTGCAAGCGCCACTCTGTATGCACCCTCCACAGCGCCACTGTAAACCAAAATGAGGAAAGGCATTTATCAGACAGAAGGAGGAGGAGGAGGAGGTAGTAAGGAAGCTGTAAGGGGTGGAGAATCGATGTGCTTTTGGCTGAGGCACTACTCCATCTATCCCCCCTCTCATTTACACTCATCTCTCATATGAGCTGCTGCGATGCTCCACGGCATTCCGAGCCAGAGGAAGTCTGAACTTCTGCTGTGGTTGTAGGTTGGCTGCCAGAAATCATGTAGAACATTTAAATAATTAGTGCTAAACCCTGAAGAGACGCGCCAACGGCCACTGAGACCTAACTAACAGAATATGAAGAAGGGAAGAAAGATCAGGTCCTGCAAAGGAACGTAAAAACCTTTCAGTTTGTCCTGGTTTAATCACATTAGCATTTTTACAGCCTAAAAATTTCAGAATGCACATAAATCTCATTAAACACACAAACAAAAACATTTAGGATTGGAAAATAGTTACTGTACTTAAAAACATTATAAACAAAGTGAAAATGTTTTTTATGCAAACTTATCCATCCAATAAAGTTTAAAGTTTTTCTAGTATAATAAAAGAGTTATACACTTTCACCAAATGAAAGATGGGATCCCAGAATATGTTTGTTAAGGTGAACATCCACAGAGCTGCCTTTCTCCAAGGTAATCATTTTTAAGTAAAGTAACAGTGATATTTGTGGCCAAAAAGGAAAATAAATAATAAAAAAGAAGTAGTACGGTCACTCGGACAGCCCCTCTTCACTGGGATGTTAAAGAGATTTCCAACCTCCACACACTTTCTTCCCACCATCAAAGATTCAACATCCACAGAGGGCCTCCTCTTCACGGTTTGGCACAGCACCAGTCATCCTTCCTCTCGTCTGTTGAATTAACTTAACTGGGTTGGAAAGCAGGGATGTTTTGCTGTTGCAGATGAGCAGGTTTACTCTGAGTAAACATCATCTAATTTAATCTACAGAAAATCCTTCTTACAGTAGCATTCAAAGCGAGGCTGATTTCACAAACGACTGACACACCAACTGAACTCCTTTATGAAAACTAATGTGAATGGAAGAAAAAGAGCATGTATATAGAAAGCTAAATTTCTAAATTAAAGATGGTTAAATCATTGCTCATTTGCAGTTGATATGACAGATCCAGTTCTATTTATATAAAAAGGAGACCATAAAGACTTGAAAACTCTTTACACTTTTAATGTCACATTTTTTTCTTCACAGTTCAAATAAAACTAGGAAATCTATTGGAATAGATTTTGTAATTGACATAAAGATGCAAAAACACATTTTATCACTGCTGCTAATTTAGTTTTGTTATGTGGGAGCACATCAAAATCCTACACTGACTTGGCAATATATGCCAAACTCTATTTTGCAAATTTGTGATTTCTGTAAAATGGTAAATGGCATGTACTTATATAGCGCCTTTATTCAAGTTAGGAGACTTGACCAAAGCGCTTTACACTACATTAATTCACCCATTCACACACACACACTGATGGTGGCAAGCTACATTGTAGCCACAGCTGCCCTGGGGCTCACTGACAGAAGCGTGGCTGCCGTACACTGGCACCACCGGGCCCTCTGACCACCATCAGTAGACAATGCAGGTGAAGTGTCTTGCCCAAGGACACAACGACACCGAAAGTTGGAGTCGGGGCTTGAACTGTCAACCCTTCGATTTCAGGGCAAACTCCTACATCCAACGCCACTGTCGCCCCAACCCCCCAAAATGTAACCCCGACATTGGATTAGTCCTTTCCCAACATTTGCAAATTCCATTCTTCTGTTGATGCTCTGACTGCAATGCTTACAGATAAAATCAGACTTCCTGAGCTTTGTAGGGGAATCCTAAAGGTTTGTGGTGAAAAAAGTGCAGAAAGTCAAGTTTGATCAGGGAAGTAAGTAACCATGACATGATTTCCCTGTTGGCATATTGTTCTCAGGGGGTTTATTATTGTAAAACACGTTTTTCAACATACCTTAGGAGAATTTACATAAGTTTGGAGATGTTTATTGGAGGAACAGGCTCTTCATTCAGTTATTCTCCTTAGAATAGACATCAAACATTGGACCGGATTTGAAAAGTACCAACTAGAAATTTCTGCAGATCCTTCAGTGTTGCTTTCACTCTTGTGGCATCTTCTGCAGATAGTTCCTGTTGTAACGACCTAAGAAACTTGGACCCAATATTCAGATAGACAGTTCAGGACAGTTTTCAACAAGCTTTATTTTGAACAAATAACTCAGTGAGCAGCTGATCGTCGGCGGGGCAGATAACTGAATTCACTGCAGAGGTAGAAAACACAGGCCAGTGACTGGAATGTTGGGCTAATCATGACCAGGAGCAAAAAGGCACTGACCAGGTTCAATTCAATTCAGTTTATTTCTATAGCGCCAATTCCCAACACATGTCATCTCAAGGGGCTTTACAGTTCATCAGATCATACAGTCAAATTGATTCAAAGTTTTCTATCAAAGGAAAACCAGTTGATTACATCGACTCATTGACTCGAATGCAATCCCTCACACAAAGTGTCAGGTCTAAGCACCTAAAACATCATACATACATGCAGGAAAAGAAACAAGGCACAGAGACAATTAATTTAGTTTACTCGCGAGGAGAGTTGGAAGAGACTGCGGAGTTTACAAATCTCAACCCACTCTGCAGTCCCAGTGTTCTCCATCGCTATTTATTGGAATCAGTGGTCCCAGCTGAGACTACACAGGGGGGAAAACAAGACAAGGTACTCAGACTTGCAGTCCCAGTAAACATGTCCTCTAAGACTCAGGGTTCAGTCAAAGTTTAAGCTGTTGACGCTGTTCACCAAAGTTCAGCAGGTCGAGTGCTGCTCGTAGATCAACCACAACCTCCCCAAAAGCAAATCTACAAATCACAGTATACTTCAGAAAAGGTGGCTATGAAAACATGCACATAGCACACTAAGCATGCTTGTAGCGACAGTGGAGAGGAAAAACTCCCTTTTAACAGGAAGAAACCTCCAGCAGAACCAGGCTCAGTGTGAGCGGCCATCTGCTGAGGTCGACTGGGGTTCAAGGAGACAGAAGCATAGATACAAAAAAGCAGCTGTAAAAGACGGCCTCGTCCAGGTTCAAAGTCCAGTGCGATCCCAGAAGAAAGGGAGATTGTCCACCGCTTGCAGTCGTAATGAGAAACCAGGCAGAGTTAAACAGGTGAATGGAATGAGCAATCAAGCCAGCCACAAGCGCCAGGATCATGACAACCGCATCAGTTTTTATCCAATTGCAAAGAGATTTCCAGGTTTACTGAAATGGCTGATCCTAATATCTTTTCTAAATAGTTTTTGTGTAATGCATAAAGAATGCTGTGAATTTTAATACCTTTCTGCATACCAGTAAAAAAAAGGATGCCAATGAACAAATCTTAAAGAAAACTCTAGTCAAGTTTGTTATTCAATTCAGTTCAGTTTATTTATTTATAAAGGACCAATTTACAACACATGTTATCTCAAGGCACTTTACAGTTCAACCAGATCATACAGCCAGATTGATTATAAGTTTACTAAGGACAACCAGTTGATTGCATCAACTCACCGAATCGCAATCCCTCACTATATAATCTGAATATCAGCTCTGAGTGCATAAAAAAAAAATCCTCTAATAACTCAGTTTATCAACACATTTGCAATAAGGCTATTGTGACATTTTTTTATCATTTTACATTTGTTTCTACATTAAATTTGAGCTATATATGTTTTATTTTATTTAAAGCTTCTTAAATACATTATTTCATTCGTTTGAGCTCCAAAAAGCTGACATTTTAAAGAAGGGGAAGGTTGGTTGTATAGTCACTCTAATAAAAGATGTGAGGCTAATATTATCTCAGAATAACTTTATTTTCTTGCTTAATGTCCAAAATGTGAATCTGCATTATTCATTGTTACAGATCAATCAAAGTTCCTAATGTTTAAAAGTAAGGTAAAGTTAAAAGCTGCAGCAAAATGTGACAAGTGGAGAAAAGTCTAGAAAATGGGAGCAGACCTCAGTGCAGCTGTTGTCTAGAAGTGCTGAGCAAATGTCCTGAGAATAAAAGAGGTTTTCATGCTCCTCTTTTCGCTGCTCAGCTTTTCTGTTCTCCCATATCACATAATGATCTGAGAATAAGGAGCAAAGGATGAGCCTGAAATTCAACATTACTCCCCATTTTTTTCTCATTCGATCTTTCATTATGGGGTTCAGATACAGCAGATCAAAGGAAAACTACCTGAGATGAAAAGAGCTCCACAGAAAGTGTACTCAAAGCAGACAGACGTGACACTGAGTTAAGAGAAAGGCAGACCAGGCAATTGGATGTGACTGACGGAAATGGGAACAGGGGATAAGGTGTAAATAAAAGGGGGAAAACAAAACCTGACAATCAATTCTGCCACCATAAACACACAAGGTAGCTTTTTTTTTATACATCTGGCCTCTCTGTGGGCATATTACTTGAACCAGATGCGTAAATGTGGCAAACATACAGACTGTAAACAAGGCTGATTGGTCTCCTTGGATCTAATAAAAGTGAAACATCCTCTGTGGACCCGCTGTAAAAAAAAAAAAAGGCATGATAGAGCAGAATATTTCCTCTGTCATAAACGACTTCTCTCATTATGTTGAGGCGTGAAGGCTAGTGTTGCCCCGATACGAGTATCGGG